CTGCCGATGGGAGCGCTGTCCTGGTGTCAGATGGGTGCACGGCCTTTCCTCCTGCAGCTTGGTCTTCCTCAGTAACAAACAGCGCGAGTGCAGGTCGTGTTCAGCCAAGTAACAATCGGTAGGACAAGAGGAGCTGGGGCTACCAAGCTGTGAAGGGTTTGGAGCATCTGTCGTCCGAGGAACGGCTGAGGGAGCTGGGGCTGTTCAGCCTGGAGAGGAGGAGACTGAGGGGAGACCTCATCGCTCTCCACAACTACTGGAAAGGAGGTTGTAGCGAGGTGGGTTGGTCTGTTCTCCCCAGTGGCGAGTGACAGGATGAGGGGAAATGGCCTGAAGTTGCACCAGGGGTGGTTTACATTAGATATTAGGAAGAATTTCTTTTCTGAGAGGGCTGTCAGCCATTGGAACAGGCTGCCCAGGGAGGGGGTTGAGTCCCCGTACCTGGAGGGGTTTAAGAGACGGGTGGGTGTTACGTTGAAGGACATGGGTTAGTGTGGGGTTCCTAGCGCTGGGAAAAGGTCGGACTCAATGATCTTGGAGGTCTCTTCCAGCCAAAACTGTTCCGTGATTCTGATTCTAAACGGCTCAAGTTGCAGCAGGGGAGGTTCAGGTTGGATATTGGGAAGAATTTCTTTATTGAGGGGGTTCTCGGGCATCGGAATTGGTTGCCCAGGGCAGGGGTGGAGTCCCTGTCCCTGGACAGATTTAAGAAGAGAGGTGCTGCTGCGCAGCAGATCTCCAGAGCAAAGACAGCCTGAGGGCCTCCCTGCACAGCGGTTTGGCCGATGTGAAACCAGGGGGTGTTGTTAGATCTCAGCCACGTGGAAAATAAGCGGCCGCAGCGTCTCCTGGTGGGGTGCGGAGCTGCTGGCCGGTGGCATCAAGCCTTGTGCCTGCCCGGCGGGTCATTTTTGCCTGGCGGGTCAAGGCGTTCTCCAGCCCCGAGCTGTGCCCACAGGTAAGCGCGTGGCGGGATTTGCGCCGTCCTGGGTTAACCCAAGTGCGTTTAATGAGTGGATTCTGCGTGAAAAGCCGCGTTGCTGAGGGCTCGGAGTCTTTGTGGCTGGTCCTTTTCAGGCTTAAAGCGACCGATTTTGTTCCAAGACTGAGAAAGTCTCTTCTCCCTCACTAGGAAGAAGATCTCTTGAACGATGTGTGCGGGGAAGTAGTCGCCAGGTGGTCTGAAGCTCAGATCGTTGCCACCAAAGAGGAAAAAGAAGGTAACGTCGCCTCTCCCCAGGGTTGGAGGGAGCCGCGGGGCCTTGCCCAGCTGAGAGCCGTGTGCTCACTGGGAGCTGAACCCAGCGCTGCCGATAACTTTCGCAGATCTGACTCGCTTCTTGTTGCCATTTATTTACTGTTTTATCTTGAAACATGAAGCGAGGCCAAGGGGTTTCACTTCTGCTGCTCTCGGGGTCATGAATCCACAGAAGAAAACCTCTTTTTTTGGGTGGGTTTTTTCTAAGGATTTTTTTTTTCCGATTTCCTTTCACAAAACCCTCTAGGGCTTTCTTGTAGCTGTTCCGATATAAAATGCCCGTGCTGCTCCTGCTCCTGCTGGTTTGGAGAGCTGCGGTTTCATACACATCTAAACAACTTTTAAATTAACCCCCTGCAGGGACGGGGACTCTGCCCCCTCCCCGGGCAGCCTGTGCCAAGCTCTGGCTGCTCCTGCCGGGAAAATCTCTTCCTCCTTTTCCGGCTGGACC